GCCGCAGGGGCGGGCTTGGGGCGCGGCGCAGGAGGCGCCGCCACCTTTTTGGGCCCGCGCCGCACCACCGTCGTCCAGGCCTCGTTCATGTTTACCGGGGCCGGGGGCAGTGGGCGGGGCTGGGGGGTCGGTGCCGGTTTGGCGGCGTTGACGCCCCCCTTCTTCTTGGTCCGGCTCCTGCCGGGCCCCGCCTTCGCAGGCTGGGACGGGGCAGGAGCAGTCTTCTGCGTCATACGCTGGCCGGTGCTTTTTGCTCCTGAGGGAGCGGGTTTTGGTGCCCCCGTATCTTTTTGGGTCCCCGATGGTCCTGGTTTGGCCGGAACAGAAGCCGAAGCAGCCGGACGTGCCGCGGGTGTCGCGCCCTTTTTAGGGCCGCTATACATTTTAGCGGCCACAGTCCTGCGGGGTGCCGGTGTAGGAGCTCCGTTTTTCACCTCATGAGCGAGGGGCGGTCTTGCGCGCTCAACGTTCGAACTCCTTGCCTCCTGTATAAGGAGCTGCCGCCTCAGCTCCTCGACCTCAGTACGTTTGTATCCTGGAAGTGACGGTGTGTCTCGAGTCGCCGATATTCGTACTGGTACAGGGATCATTCGACGTGCATTTTCCAGGATATGCCCTCTGCCACTCCAATCAGTGGAAGAAAATGAAGATGAAGCGTGATTTTATTTAGAAACCAGAGATTTCAAGGCCCGGGGATGTTTACGCCATCTATTGGTCCTAGTCAAGTCAAGTCTGAATTTAAAAACAGCGCCATCTATTGGTCAACTGGAACAGACTGCTTAATTCCATCATTTTAAAATAATCGAATGCGCCAAAAAGAAAAAAAAAGAAAAAAACCTTTTCAACGACACAATGCGATTAACCTATAAAATTTTACGTAATGTAAAAAAGGAAGATGAAAGGGGATTACTATTATAAAAACGGCCTATTTTCTTTAAAAATCGCTAATACGACGAGGAACGAACCTGCTCCTGCACAATAGGTATAGTCTTATTACGTGTAACTAATACTTTATTTGAGTCGTCTATTATCAAAGGTGGCAATCTGTACATTTGGAAAAAAAATATTTATTGATATGTCAATACAGATTGATTTGAATATAATCGTCTCCTTCAAAGAATACGGTTCAAAACCTGCATTAAATAAAGGTTAATAGTTAACCTGTTATTTATCTAAGATGTCGTTCCGAAGAGTTTTGTGACTGCCGATGGAATACAAAGCCAATAATTCGTTTTTCTGATTTACCAATCATTGTCCAAAAGTCAGATTGCCGCCTTTGATAATAGTCGACTCATTTCTTAGGTCTATATTAGACTCCCAAACGTCTAATAAGTCATGTCCTAATAATCCGTCAAAGTAGTTGTGAAATCTGTATACGAATAGTGTAATGTCATCTTGTTCACAAAATTCTCTAAAACAAGGAAGGGTGATGGAGTGGTTGCTATTAGTCGTAGCATGCATGTTCGTTACTTCAAAGGGGTCGTAGTTTAGTGGTATGTGATTGAAAAATTTTTCGACAGCTTCGGGGCTAATAAAAGATTGATTAGCTCCCGTGTCAATTAGGAATTTTAGTGGAGGGTTAGCTATTTGAATATAACCCAGCTGTCTTTGTATATGAAAGTTAACTTCGGTTTTGGCTTTTCGGAACTCGGGTCTTTCTGAAAATTTGCGTCATCCGGTGAGACCGGGTTTTGGTCAACTTCCTCTACAGAGACCGGTTCATAATAGGAGTACTGTTCCTGATGGTAAGGATAGTCCGTATGATCAGAGTAATAATTTTGATCGTAGTCTGTATAGTCAAAGTCGTAATAGTCAGTGTAGTCATGTCCATAGTCGAATTCATTGAAATTTACTTCTCTTGTCTTAAAGTAATTGCTAGGGGGCAGATTGCCGTGTACACACCAATCGTGACCTTGTAGAGTTGGTGACAATGTTAATGTAGCAAAGTGGCTAACGCCCTCATGGGACGAGGCTGATTGTTAAATCTAAATCCCTGCTGCGGTGGTAGTTGATTCCTATTCGGCAATCGAAACACGTTACTCTGAGGGTTGTAATTCGGAGGCGGGGCGCGCATTATTTTTTCAGTACGAGAGAAACCGCGTGGCTGTTGCATTTGACCTGGATTACTAAAATTATTTGGTCTTCAACCTTGAGGAGATGCCGATTGTCCTTGAGGCTGACGCGAGGGGCCGGATATATTAAAACCGGGCTGTCGCGAAAGCATGCCGAATGTCATAAGGCTTTGGGGCAAAAGTATTTAGGGGTAAATTTTGCTGGGCGGGCTGCTGCCAGTCTCTCCTACGTACTTTCGTTACGATGTTGCAGGTACAAAGTATTGAGTTCCTCCTGCACGAACTCTAGTGCCTTCTCCGTAGATGCAGGTCGCATACAGCGTATTCTGTATCCTAGGGGATCCTTAAGTCTTCGCAAATATGCTTGTAATGTTAGTTTAGAATATAATTCCCGTTTCGCTTCTATAGTAGTATTGACATTCTCGTGCAAAGACACATACGCCATAATCGTACTAAAGAGGTTTTGACAATGTTCATAGAATTCTTGCCCCGAGTGCTTGACCCCTGAGTCTGTAGCGATAAATCGCTATATAGCGCGATTTCGTCGCGGTGATCCGCAACTGCTAATGCCGTGCCAGGACTCCGGTATTCCGTTCGAATTTATTAGCCTGGCGGCAGATCCAGTACCGTTATTTAAAACTAGCTTTAACCCGCGGCTTCGCTCGCATTGAAGCCATTAAATAAGTATCAAAGATCATTAACATAGAAATGAATCAATATGATAACTCTATTTTATTGCTTAGCTGGGATTATCAATTTTTAAAATTACGACATACAATGCTGTTTAAAAAACTTACAATTTTATTGAAATTTTATTGAAATGCAACAACAAACGGTAAAATATATTTCTCTGTAACAAAAATAAATAATTTTGGACTTTAACAATTTTATAAGATATAAATGCAGAGTATTAACAAAACAAAACTACTAAAGACAAATTATACATAGTTCAGGTCGTAATTAAAAACGAGAAAAAGATTCAGATTCAAAAGAAAGATTCCGTCAACACAAGATTATTGTTGGAGTCACACAATGGTACTGTTATGGGAATTCTCTCTGAGGTCGTTTTAAAAAGGAAACTCTTAGGATATTTCCGACGGCGCAGTGCCACCACTGCGCGGACCGCGACGAGGAAGACACAGCGGAACACACATTGGCGCGTTGCTCTGGATTCGACGAGCAACGCGCCGCCCTCGTCGCGGTCATTGGAGAGGACCTCTCGCTGCCGCGCGTCGTGGCTACGATGCTCGGCATCGACGCGTCCTGGAAGGCGATGCTCGACTTCTGCGAGTCCACCATCTCGCAGAAGGAGGCGGCGGAGCGAGAGAGGGAGAGCTCTTCCCTTTCCGCACCGATCCGTCGCCGTCGAGCCGGGGGCCGGAGGCGGGAATACGCCCGTANCTCGTCGCGGTCATTGGAGAGGACCTCTCGCTGCCGCGCGTCGTGGCTACGATGCTCGGCATCGACGCGTCCTGGAAGGCGATGCTCGACTTCTGCGAGTCCACCATCTCGCAGAAGGAGGCGGCGGAGCGAGAGAGGGAGAGCTCTTCCCTTTCCGCACCGATCCGTCGCCGTCGAGCCGGGGGCCGGAGGCGGGAATACGTCCGTACGTCCCTGCCCCTGTAGGTAGCGGCCTCCCCCTGGTGAAGGTCAAGGGGCGACCTGAGGGGGGGAGCCCGCGCGGCGCGCTACCAGCACTCTAGGGCGCTGCCGTGGAGTGAATAGAGCGACCGGTCGACGGTGTATCGCGTCCCGACCTGGCAGGCTGGTTCTGGTCCAGCGGGGTATTCCGGGACACCAGCGGCACCGTCTGGGCGGCCCGACGGGCTGCCGTACCGAGACGGCCGACGTTTCAGAGCCTTCGATTCGCCTCGAAGGCTCCGTCGGCTGGGCGTCCTTGGTGTGAGCCGCGCCGTCTGGTTGTAGTGTTGACCGCGGTAGCCCCCCTACCTCATCCGGGTTCTGACCTCGGAGGGGATCGGACGTCGGGTGCAAGAGTGCAGGGGAGTCGTTTAGTGGGTGGGTCCTAAAATCCTTGGGCCCGCGGTCTGCTCACAACACCATGCAGACCGTTGAGTCTCACATACCCCGCGCGCCCCTTTTGCGCGGGGACCTCGTAGGAGGTTCGGCCCTCTACCCGAAAAAAAAAAAAAAAAAAAAAGGAGCTGATATGAGTTTGGATTTTAGGGTTTCGAATGATAGCTGTTGTTCGTTTTGCCAGTGGAAGGCAGTGTCCTTTTTAAGAAGGGAGGTCAGGGGTTTGGCTAACTTAGAGAAATCGGGGATAAAGAGTCTATAGTAAAGACAAGTCCTAGGAAGGATTTTATATCCTTAGGTGACTTCGGTATGGGGAATTTTGCCACGGCTTGAATCTTATCAGGGTTTAGTTTTACTCCTTCTTCGTTGATAATATGACCTAGATACCCTACTTCTTTCCGGAGAAATTCACATTTTTCAGGTTGCAACTTTAAGTTATAGTTCCTGATTCTCTCAAATACTTTACTGAGGTTATTGATGTGTGATTTAAGATCATAGCTATATAACTAGTCAGGTCATAAGTATTGTCACACAGTAAAAACTTTTCTTTTAGAATGCTGGCCACAAAAAAGTTTATTAAATTCGTATTTCGAATTGTTCATGAAAATAAAAATGTATACTTTTAAAATTTTACTCATTTTTAAATATGGAGTGGACGCTTAAAGAAGACCGTGTTGCAGTTATTGCGTTGCATCGTTGCGGCTACGCGCCAATTCAAATTTTTAACATACTGAAAAATTTGAATATAACCAAAAGATTCATTTATCGTAGCATCAAACGATACAATGAAGACTCTAGTGTAGATGACAGGTCAAGAAGTGGTCGCCCTCGGTCTGTTAGGACTCCAGCAGTGATAAAAGCTGTGAAGGCGCGAATTCAAAGAAATCCCAAACGTAAGCAGAAACTGTTGGCCATTCAGATGGGGTTAAGCAGATCCACGGTGAAATTAAGACTAGGGCTTCGGGCATATCGAAGAAAACAGGACATCCTTTGAATGCTCGTCTAATGGACCTGAGACTGAAGAGATGCTGCGCTTTGTTGAAGCGGTACGCGGGAAAAAAATACCGGGAAATTCATTTTTCGGATGAAAAAATTTTTACCGTAGAAGAGAGCTACAACAAACAAAATGATAAGGTGTACGCACACAGTATTGAAGAAGCAAGCAACCGTATTCCGCGTGTCCAACGAGGTCATTTCCCATCCTCGCTCATGGTATGGTTGGGAGTTTCTTATTAGGGCTTAACAGAGGTACATTTTTGTGAGAAAGGTGTAAAAACAAATGCAGGTTGTGTATCAAAATACAATCCTGACGAACCTTGTGGAACCTGTTTCTCATACCATGTTCAATAACAGGCACTGGGTATTCCAACAAGATTCGTCGCCAGCTCATAGAGCGAAGAGCACACAAGACTAGCTGGCGGCGCGTAAAATCGACTTCTCCGGCACGAAGACTGGCCCTCCTCCAGTCCAGATTTGAATCCGTTAGATTACAAGATATGGCAACACTTGGAGGAAAAGGCGTGCTCAAAGCCTCATTCCAATTTGGAGTCACTCAAGGCATCCTTGATTAAGGCAGCCGCCGATATTGACATGGACCTCGTTCGTGCTGCGATAGACGACTGGCCGCGCAGATTGAAGGCCTTAGTGTAATAAACTTTAGTGTCATAAGAATCTATGTTTTGTTAAGTTCATTTTGGTATATGAATGGTTACATAATGAATAAACTTGTTTCAATTATTTTACATTAAACATGTGACAGAATTTATGACCTGACTGGGTATAACAATATCATCGAGATAGACGAAACACCTATTACCTTGTAGGCCAGAGAGACAATTGTTCATAAGTTTTGGGCATGTTGTAGGTGCATTTTTAAGGCATGAATTTCCGCAGACCTTTTATCTTAAAAAAAAAAACAGTCACCGCTATGTTAGCCACAGTTTTATTCCAATGCCTCAATAATCGTGAACAACGATTATTGACGTTTAATACACAAAACAACGTCCAATTTATATATTATACATCACAATAAACTATTAAAAAAACATTAAAATAAAACTTCAAGTGACGCTTCACTCGGGTTGCTGCCAAAACTCTCTGATCATATATAATAAGAATAGAGCAATGGTAGGCCATTGAGAGTTTTACTAATGGAATCATTAATATCTAAAAATATTAAATAAAATAACTCATGGTTTTAAGTAATAATTATTATTACAATATATAAATATTGAATTGAACAAAAATAAACTAAAAAGTCTGAATCAAAGAGTATGTAACACTACGTTTAAGAGACGGGAGTGCCATAGAAAAAAACGATGTATGAAACGTGCTCTCTAGTCTAATACCAACCTAACGGAACTAAGGCGTGATACAATGCTGCCAACATAATGTCCATAATGTCATTATTAGTGATGTGGGCTGTAGTAGCGGGCGAAAACTTATCGATATCGATTACAAAATTCTGGGATTTCNACTGCTTCTGAAGAATCGGATGATAATCTATCGGAATAATTTTATCTAGTGTCTGCTTCCTCTTTTTAGAGCTGAATTCTTCCTACTAATTTAGCGAAGCAATGTTATTTATAATATTTAATGTTTGTCTACATGCCATTTCATTGCTATTAAGTATGTGCACCTGTTATAAGTCTAGGTTACTATGTAAGACTGATTGTTTAATTATGAAGGCTGATTATTATAGATTAGTGATTAGTAGATTAGTTCTACGATTAGTGAGTAGATAGTTTACTGGTGGTAGGACCTCTTGTGAGTCCGCACGGGTAGGTACCACCACCCTACCTATTTCTGCCGCGAAGCAGTAATGCGTTTCGGTTTGAAGGGTGGGGCAGCCCTTGTAACTTTACTTGAGACCTTAGAACTTATATCTCAAGGTGGGTGGCGCATTTACGTTGTAGATGTCTATGGGCTCCAGTAATCACTTAACACCAGGTGGGCTGTGAGCTCGTCCACCCATATAAGCAATAAAAAAAAACTTTGAGACTGCTGATTTTAATGTTGTTATTATAAAAAAAAATTAGTTTTATTATCTTCGTCCGTGTCTGCGTCCTGCAATGTTCTAATTGATACATGAACCTGTAAGTTTTTTTGTAATTTTTAGTGTTATGATTGCTGTTTATGATGATTCTTTATACGAGTTTTGAGATTTTTTCACTTAATAAACGTTTTTAAATAATTACTATCTTTTTTATTTAGTTATATAGGAGGGCAGTGATTATATGAGGAACGTTATGTTTAAATATTTCAAGGTTGTTATTTACGTAGGACTCATTAGTAGTTAGTAATTCCAAAGAAAACCGACTCATGTTAATATAGAACGTCATTTAATTTACATGTGTCCATAAAACAACGTGTAACGTTCACTAAGGACCCTCTCTGTTTTGCCATAAAACGTCTTATGTTAATATAGAACTCACTATCTCCAGAAATAAAATAATAACAGTTATAAACTACACAGTATTTAACAAAGCTGAGACGTAGTAACAACATACCAAAAAATTTAAACAACAAGTCGCACCGTTTAAAAGTTACACAAGTCAACAACTTCTTTAACCTCTACTAAAAACTATCAATCCTACATATAGGACTATATTCTGCGGATGAGTCGTAGTATTCAACTGCATCCCGTTAAGACTGGCAGCCGGCCCCACCGTAGTTGGGAAATGGCTAGGCAGATGATGATACATTCATTTGAAACGCAGGATAACCTAGTTCAGACACGCAAGACTTAGGGATATATTTTACATAAGCAAAACTGTATTAATTATATTTATTTTGCAACGCCTTGTTGTTGCGCCTTCTTTATCGCATCTGCAGAGGCCTCTTCACTGAGCGCAAATAACTGATTTATTAAGTTACAGTGATTTCTTATTAAAAGTAGGCTTACGCGTTGCAATAATTTTTCTATCATTACATTTTTGTGTTCTTCACAGATCCACGACAAATCAATATTTGCAAGTATTTCTATTTTAGAGTAGCTGCATATATTTTTTGCGAAGATATTTGATTTCACTTTCTCATCAAAAATACTTGTCGCATCGTCTATTGCCTGACATAACTGAAGACTAGGGTATGTTAATGAGGATTTGTCCGTCCACCACTCTCGCAAAGCAATATAATTATATATTGTATTTGGTTGCGGGTAGGAAACCTTCATGGCAACTATACATTTTAGACAGTCCACACCTTTCAGAAGCACAGAAGCTAAATAGCCGCTCACATATACTGTGGGCTGCTTTTCAAATTTTTTGAATTTTTCTTCTATATCCGCCAAGTAATTTTGTTGCTCAATATTATCAGCTAAGTGCAAAACAGGAACATCTTGAAAATCATCGATTTTGATGTCGTAATCTTCACTAGCTGCGCTCTCTGTCTGTTTCACAGGCTGGTATTTTTTATTTGGAAAAACAATTTCCTGAAAGTCTATAATGATTTCATTGTTATCTCTTTGGCAGTTGCTCCCTCTGCTTAGTGGTGCACTGAGACGTGTTAGAATCGTAGACTTCAATGCACAAGTGAAATGATGGCACGTTGGATTTCTATTAGTAAGACAATGTTGACGTATTTGGCCGAATAAATTTTCTAATGCATCCTGGTTAAATTGACGCAGGTTCATATATTTGAATTTTTTCACTAAATGAGTCGTCTATTATCAAAGGTGGCAATCTGTGCATTTGGACAAAACATTTTTATTGATATGTCAATACAGATTTATTTGAATATAATCGTCTCCTTCAAAGAATACGGTTCAAAACCTGCTTTAAATAAAGGTTAATAGTTAACCTGTTATTTATCTAAGATGTCGTTCCGAAGAGTTTTGTGACTGCCAATGGAATACAAAGTCAATAATTCGTTTTTCTGATTTACCAATCATTGTCCAAAAGTCAGATTGCCGCCTTTGATAATAGTCGACTCAAATGTAAATAGTGCCAAATATCTTGTAGAGATGACAATGTGATTCCATTTACACATCTAATGTTTCTCAATCTCAGTTGACTGTCCGATTTTAAGAAATGAAGGGTTTTAATTTTACTTTTGAATTCAATCCATCTCCTATGATGGAAACTATTTTTACTGACATTTTGCCGAATATTTCTTTTTATATCGCTTTTAGAAGCTGGCCCATTTGTACAATCAAATAATTGATCAAGTTCTTCGACTATGTGTGCTGTTTGAAGTATTTCCGGTCTTTCTCCTTGGTTTTCAACACTATCAGCTTGTAGTTTTAGTATAGCTGCAACAGTATTACTCAAAATTTGAGCAGCTAGCTTAACTCTCATTTTGGCTCGAAATCTGGGGTTCACATGTAATTTAGTATTTTTTTTGAAATGGAGACTGATTCTATTTCTTTCTTCAAGTTTGATCAAATGAGCCCATTTCCCTTTTTTATTGTCCATTACCAGTTCACCGCCCTGCATAAAATTATTTCGTATTGATTTAAAAAGATGTGGCACGTCATATATTATAAAAACTTTTTTTCCATCAAGAAAAAAATAATGTGGTTCCGCAGAATTTCCCCAAGTTTTTAGCAAATTTAATGAACCCATGTTCGTTGGTCCCTGATCGCAAACCGTAGCTATTACCTCATAACCAGCTTCTGTTACAGCTCGAATTGTATCTTTTATTATAATAGCTAATTTATCGGTTGCTATAGTGCCCTTAACGAAATAGTGTGCAATGGGCTGTTTCATACTTTTATGAACCCCTTGAAGCATGATAACTGATGCGTGATCAGCAATTTTTTCAGATCGTTTATCATCGCCTAGGTCCTCATAACCATCTATTTTATCCGTGGCAACATTATATATTAGCCTTTTTTTGAGTGCTATTTCGTCAAAAAGAATAACACAAGTTTTATCTTTGTCCGATAAACTTTCAGCTTTTTTTTTTAGTTGATGCATACTCATGGAATCGATGCCGGTATCCATTTTCATATTTTCTAACACTGTTTGAAGTGTTCTGATACTAGGCATTGGTAAAAGTTGGGACAAATATCTGTACGCTTTAGATGACTTTTTGTAAATAGCTAAAGCTACGGTTTTATTTAATTTAGTCCAACGTTTGCCTTTAGGTTCGCGATTTTGGTTAGCAATAGAAGATTCTATCAAACTTTTTAAGACAGGTGATGTTATTTTATCTATTTTATTAACTTTCTGTTTGAGGTTTTTTATTAGAAGACGACTTGATTTAAGTTTCTTTATTAGTCTTCGCTTCCGAGGTGTCACTGGGACAGTTTCTCTGTCTTGAGGTTTTCTTGGTGACACTAATGGTGCTGAAACATGAAGAAAGTCGGTGAAAAACGCGTAAGTCATTAAGTACTTATATGCTCAAATAACATATGTATAACACTCACTAGGACTAGAAAATCTTCTTCTCTTTGGAGAAGTCTGATTAGGATTCGATGTCGATGTAGAGGGTACTGTAACAGAACGGGTCAAAATATTATTTGTCGAAGGTTGATATTAAAGGATCTACAGGGTGGCCCATAAGTCCTTTGATATGAAAAAAAAATTATTAAAATAAAACTAATTACATTATGAATTAAATTTTTATTTACATAAAAAGCTTAAAAAACGGGAATTATTTTTTGAAAATAACATCTCCTAAATGTAATCCGTTGCGATCACGGCACTCTTGCAAACGACGTCTAAAATTGTCGATGACTGCGCGGCACGNAACAATCGAAAATGAATATTTACGAGTCATTAAGGATGAAAAAATATTAAAAATTGCATTAGAGGGGCTAACTTGTAGGTATATTTTTAAATATTTTTTTAAAATAAATAACTGCAGAACAAACAATTATTAACAGTGAACAATCATGAACAAATGATGAACAAACGAATTAATAGAAAATAAGTATAAAACAGGAAAAAAAAATTTTTTTGAGGGGCTAACTTCATTCACCTTATTTCCATTACAATTTTATTATTTATTTTTAAGCTATACGTGAGCATAATTGCAAATAATATTAATAATACTAAGAATTAGTTTCTCTTTACGTCTTATTGGACATTATTAAATTGAATGTTTTTTTTTATGTTTGAAATGAATAGTAATCTGTAGATTTATATTTGTTATTAACAAATAATAATTTAAACCCACAATCAAAATAATAACACAATGCTTAACGCAAAATAAGACGAAGATGATCGCTATTATCTATTGTACATTGTCTATGATAGGGTATTCCTTTCAACATAGCACTTCAAAGGTTATTATTATTACCTTGCATTAAAAACATATAAGGTTCCGTAGATTTTTATTTTAGGACGAGATTACATCAAAGAAAATTTACAGAATATTATTCAATTATCTTTATGAATTACATTTATAATATCAGGGCGTGTCACACTTTCTTTTTTTATTGCCCTTGTAGGTAAACGAGCATACGGCCCACCTGAAGGTGAGTGGTTACCGTCGCCCATTGACTTCAGCAATGCCAGGGGCAGAGCCAAGCCGCTGCCTACCGCTTAATACTCTCCACAAGCCTCGTTTGAAGAAGGACATGTCATAGCGCTCGGGAAACACCGTGGAGGGGAGCTCATTCCATAGCCGGATGGTACGTGGCAAAAAAGACCTCTGGAAACGCACTATTAATTTACTTATTTTATCATTTTGAAGGTAATTTTCAGATTAATTGTTTAGTCTTCCTACTAAAATTACAGCTCGACCAAGCTAAGTTTGCACCCCGCATCGATTACTTCACACTGCCACCTAGGTGCGGTCTGAAAAAAGGATTCGCTATGACTTTAAAAATGTAAGCAAATGTTTGTTAGATTTTACTTTGCATTTATTGTTTTTAACAATATATTATACATAGGTACATTAGAATATAGCGATATCGGGTTTTTGCACTTTTTAAATTTGTATCCCAATTGCTCAGTAATAATTTTCCTTTATGTTTCTTTTCCAGGATTATGTTTCTGTCGGCGACAAAGATACTAACCGTGCTGACGCGACAGGCCGATCGCGGGAAGGTGAGCGGGGAAACGGGCGGACCGCCGCGCCGCATTCCAGCGAGGTGCAAACTTAGCTTGGTCAAGTTGTAACTTCATAGTCTAAATCAGCTAATTTCACACTAAATCTCTTAACCTATTTAACGTTAGATACAACTTTATATATATTTAGATATTTTTTATAATCGACGCTAATGATTCACTGATGATTATGATTAACTATAAGTAATGACTCTGAAATTAACTTGCAAGCTGCAGTATCCTGGATATGCCAAATAGGTGGTTTCATATCGTTTATATAGTGGTAAATTTAAATTAATTTAAAGTTAAGTAAGGCTAGTTAAGTTAAGTAAAGGTAATTTTAAGTAAAGGCAGACAAAATTACCGCTAACTCTGTTTTACTTGGAATTTTATGGGACTAAAAATTACTAACATTTTTTTATCTGAGAAATTGTATTTAATTTTTCCTAATACTTTCCCTTTTCGGAAAACTTTCTTTTCAGCGAACCCTAAATTTTAGTCAAGTCGTGTCATACAAAAGTGTTGACAGAAAACAAAAATTTCTACTTATTTGATTCAACAATTATGCATTCTTAGAACAATAAAAAAAGTGATTTAATTATTGACCCCTCAGTAGATATTTATGAAAAGAAAGCTATAAAACGGTGATTTCAAACCAAGAAGCTTAGGTTTAAAAGACGAAATCCGATCATATATATCATTTTTTACATTAATTTTCTGGCAACATTTATCCGATAGTTGACCGAAAAAGAACCGAAAGCTCTGGAAGAACTGAAACCGAGTAAGCGTAATACCTCAATTTCATTCTAAAACGGATTCTTGTGTTGAAGAGTCGTACTCTAAACTTCCTTAATCAACATAGTAGCTTTTATACCTGCGTATCGCTCGAAGAGAACAAAAATTAAAGGTAAGTCTATTTTTAATTTACAAATATAAGTTATTGATCGTGGAATAATTAAGAATGGCTTACAACAGGTGTGTATTTGATTAAGCTTGGAACATTTTCATATGAAAAATCGCCGTAACTTCACAGACTGTGAAACTGCTAATTTTCTCAACATTGGAACCGTTTAATGACCACATGCTAAGTCTAGTGGAATCATATTACAGATATGGTGACAATTCGTAAATTTATTGGCAGGACAGTATACTGTTTTCAAAGACTTTTTTGATAAACTTAAATGTCCCGTTGTTTATAAATAAACTGTTTTTTCAATTACATTTGAACTATACTGGAATGTAATTTTTGAATGTTTTTTTTATTCATTGCTTAGTTGGGTGGATGAGCTCACAGTGCACCTAGTGTTAAGTGGTTACTAGAGCCCATAGACATCTACAGCGCCACCCACCTTGAGATATAAGTTCTAAGGTCTCAAGTATAGTTACAACGGCTGCCCCACCCTTCAAACCGAAACGCATTACTGCTTCATGGCAGGAATAGGCGGGGTGGTGGTATAGTAAGCGGCACGTAAGTTGGCAAGGTTTTGGCATAGTGGGGGTCATGTTGCGCATAGTGCACATTGCAACAAAAAAATGGTCACTTATTACCCGCGTATAATTTAATTTTATTTTATTTAATTTTTTATTTGCTTTAATATATTTTAAGCCTGTGTGCTTAGAAGAAAGTTAAAGAAAAGAGAGGAATTCGTGAAGTGTATTAGGTGTTATAAATAAAATACAATTAAAAGTTAAGAAGTTAATTTAAAAAAATAATTTTTAATGAGGGACACTTAGACGTGTCAATACTAAAAATTTGTATTCTAAGATTTATTTTAATTTAAATATAATACAGCTTATTTTGTTATGATTTATTGATACCAGGTTGATCACCGACCTCTAATACTCTCATTTCAACAATTATTTCTCCTCTGAACTCTCTTAAACTAAAAACTTAATTATCATCACCATGGATATTTATTCCAAACTATTTGCACAACTGGAAGACTTATCTACAACACTGAACTTATGAATGGCACAACACGTAGATCTGAAGAATGCAGCTACCACAGATCTCCCACATAAAACCATAGCGAGTTTATCCCGTGAGTTTGCTGAATTTAAATCATTTGTGTGTAATGCACTAACTGCTTTGAAAACTCAAATAGAGTTGCTTACTTTGGGCCTGGACAGACACGAAATGATGTCTCGTCAGAAAGTACTGTTGCTACATGGGGTCAACAATAATAAAGACCCTTCTGCTACTGTTTTGGAGATTTTAAAAGGTCCCACAAAATTGAGTCATATTATTTCAACTGACATAGTAACTTATCATCTTGGAGCTAATAAAAGCAAGCCTCGTCCAGTTTTAATAAGGTTTAAATGCCATAGCCATCGAGAAGTTTGGAAGAATAAAGTTTTGCTGAAGTTTTGACAGTGTCTGAATTCTTGACGAAGTCCCGCCATGATGCGGTTTCTGGGTGCTCACAAACACTGGCCTTAAGCAGTGCTGGACATCAGAAGGCAAGATAGTAATCCAGCTGTCTGATAAAGCACGTCGGAAGATAGAGACTGTCGCTGAGCTCCGTCTGTTGATAAATCAGTACCCTGTGGCACCAGCGCCTAGTGATAGTCTGCTGAAGCCGTGAAAACCACAAAATCGCAGGTCAAGAATACGTTCGGACAAGAGGATCCGTAAACTGCCTAAATAATAATGTTTCACTTTATTTATTTTATAGAAAGTATATATAATATTTATGTTTAATTATTTTACTTCGTTAAAATTCTTTTATGTATTCTATACTAATTTTTATGTCTATCTTTCTGTTTTACTTTATTTCTTTGTTTGGCGTCTGTTAATTTTGATTAGTTTGTTAATGTTTGTTGGATAAATTTAGTTATGACTTTGACAAGTTTGACACAATTACATGTTTTGGTATGTTAACTCCTTTCACAATAGAACTTTGGCTCTATGGCTTTTGGCCATCAATTTTAGTTGTAGGTATACCAAATCATTATGATTTAAAATAATTGTTTTTAATTTGTTGTCCTATGAGGTTAGTGTCATAATATTATATTTTGTATCTTAGAATTTATTACGGATTTTAGGGTAATTTTTATTTTATTTTTTTGTTTTGTCTTTGTTTATTATTTTATTGGTATTATTGATTTTTATTACTTATTTAAAGCATTAATGTACAGTGACACTGATGATAATTTTTTGTCATGTTCTTCTTCTGTTTCTTCTGATAGAAGCTTTGCTAGTGCGTTTGATAATGACGATTCCATCTACGCGATCAACTTGTTTATTCCCTTTCGTCTTCTTCTAAATGTTTCAACGTCGTTCATATCAATGCTCAAAGTGTTCACGTACATTTGCCTGAGCTGTTATCTTCCTTTGACTCAGACCATGTTCACGCTGTGCTTATCTCTGAGACTTTTCTTAAGCCTTCACTCCCATCATCGCAATATGCACTCCCCGGGTACAAACTTTTTCGAAATGACAGGACAGGTCGCAGATATGGTGGTGTTGCAATCTACCGCCGAGCTGATCTGAAGCATACAGTCGTTGATCAGTCACCAAGCTAATATACTCAATCTGCTGAGCACCTCTTTATAGGGGTAGCTATCCAGCACACCAAGATACCTCTTGGTGTTTTTTATAGTCCTTCAAGTCACATTGATTATTTCTCATCTTTTGAAAGTATGTTAGAAAATGTATGTTCTATATATGACCATGTCTTGATCCTTGGAGACTTCAACACTTGCGTAATCAGGGATGACGCACGGTCTCAGCGATTCCTCTCTCTAGTCTCTTCTGTAAACATGCACCTTCTTCCCTTGGGGGCGACTCATCGCGCTCCTCACTCTACTCTTTCTCTCTTAGATCTTATTATTGTCTCTGACCCTTCCAAAGTTTCAAGGCATGGACAGCTATCAGCTTCGTTCTCTTATCACGACCTTATTTACCTTTCTTACAAAATTCGTTGTCCTCGACGCAAATCTAAATTTCTCCTTCTCCGCAGTTTCAAAGATATTTCTCTCGAGCGTTTGAGGATTGATGCTGGTAATGTGGACTGGTCGTCTGTTTACAACTGCAATGACATCGACAGTAAAGTTTCTGCCTTCAACAACCTACTATTAGATCTCTACAACAACCATGCACCTCTCAAGAGAATCAGTTTTAATTGTAACAGTATTTATGGCGACTAAGTACATGTTCAAGCAGTCGCTGTTTGTTTTTTTCTCCTTGTCCTGTTTTAGGTTTCATACTTCAGTGTGTTTTTTTATACAAAGTAATTGTCACTGTAATTATATAGTAGATTTAGTAGATCAGCGAACAATAATTTTATTATGGTTACTATCATAGATAGAAAAAAACTATTATGTATATTTTAATTTGTTGCTCTTCTCGTTTACTTTTCGTGGATTTAGAAACATCAAATTGTGATAATATGTTATTTCGCGGATCTTACAACATTATTTCTGAATTCCAAATATTTTAAGATTAATATCCCGTTTTTCCTTGTGACACAATAATTCACCAATATTATGCAAATTTATATGTGCCAGGTCAATTTCGTTCTAATTTATATCATACGTATATATTTTTTTGTCTCCATAGGAACATGGGGCTTCTAGCTGCATTAGTGGTAAACGCGGTCGGCGGTGCTGTAATATATGGCACTGGGGGTCTGTTGACTCCATTAGTGGCTCCCATGCTCGGTTTCAGCTCAGCGGGAATAGCGGCAGGAAGCACAGCCGCTGCTGCACAAGCATACTACGGAAATTTAGTGGCCGGCAGCATTGTGTCACAGTTGACTGCTGCTGCCATGGTAGCCCCCACGCCGTAAGATAATCTTTTTACTTAATTTAAAAAAAATACACCATTCTCGCTTCCCGTTTAGCAATAAAACGGAGAGCGTGTAGAAAGTCATTACGCGCTTACCATGTAGATCTTGTGGTTAAAACGTAGGTATGTCTGATTCTGGTCTTTAATGTCAATGTCTATCTAATAATGCATTATTTTCACGCCGGAATGTTAGGACGACTATGTTGTGTGCTATCAGTCCGTGAGGAGAGGGGGGCTTGATTTTATTATTTTAAAAATATAAAGACTCGTATTGCGTACTTCCCAAAAAATCACTACCTATATTCAATTCGATCGAAGCACGCGTACCTAATAATATAGAAAACAATTTCCAATAAGCTGAATACAAATAGGGTAAAGATCCATAAAATGATTTAATTTTTTTTATTTTATGCTTCAACTTAAACGAAAGTAAGAGACAGCTCACATCGTAACACACAGCTTAAATATTAAGTGTATTAGCTATGGCTCACATTTAATGTTTACTTCTTCCAGATGAGGTGATGCTAAACATCACCCGTTCTCGACATCGCTCCAGGATCGGACCTTTTCTGTTTTATTTGGAATTAAAATGCATTTAAATTTTTAATAAATTTGTCGATGCGATGTATTAAGAGTATTTTATTTTGTCCTAAACGTGTGAAAAGCATCCCCTATTCTAAAAAATGGTTGGTAAACTAAATAGTAAACTCTAGACCCAGTACCATGGTATTAGTATCACATTATTGTATTCTAGTAGGTAATCTAGTATATGTGTATACAGTACACTCCTCGAGTAGCACTACTATTATTATTTTATCTACGGAAATAACAAAGATTGAATTTGGCCCCCCTAAAAATAGGTGGTGTGAGGTAATGGTTTGCTTAATAAAATAATTAATAATTGGGAATTTAATTGTTTTTATGATCTAACAATCGCCAATAGTCGTCGAACAAACGATAATTGATTAAAATTAATTAATCTGAGCGATAAAAATAAAGATATCTAGTAAAGGGGGCTAACTTAAGGGTGATCATTTGTTTAATTATTCACTACATAGTATACAACAAAGTAGCTTTCTCTGTCCCTATATCTGTCTATCCCTATCATAGAGTTACTATTCTAACTGGAGTGCTTACTTCGTTTGACATAAAAACTAAAAATATACTTTATCTCTATGGCTTAAAGTTTATTTTTAAATAGCAAAAGATGTAAGGAAAAACGGTCTGAAAAGAGAATGATTATTAAGTGGTGGTGTCCCTCTCGCACATTTTACAAACAAAAAGCAGTGTTGCTAGCTTAGAGAATTTTCCATAAAATCTCGGAATTTGGACCCCCGTCTTAGTTATCAAAAATGGCTTTTAGTGGTTAGTGGATTTTTTAGTAGCTTGGGCGTTGTTGAAAATTATTGAAAAGGTTAAAATCAATCCACTTTACAGGATTTTAAACATTTTATGACAATAATATATCTAAATACATATTATTTAAACGATGTGACTTAAACTTAACTAGAAAATATTGCGACAATTTAGAATTTCCATCAACCTCAAAAATTAAATTGGTTCAACATAAACGTACAAAGTTATGGTGAATTTATTTTCTGATGATGACAATTTATTAAAATAAATTATATAAGAAGTATTGATTATATGATAAATNTAAAGTAGGAATTGCGTAATTAAGTTCAACATAATATTTAAGTCGCGGTTGAGTATTCGGACGTTAAACATGAGTTTGAGGAAGTTTAAGTAATAGCACTGAGGTAATGATGTTTGTAATAAAACTCAGTGCTAGATTTTCGACAACGCAGCAACTTCCAAAAAAACCGTCGAAAAAAGGCACCATGACGACGAAGCAATGTTTAGAATTGAATTTACATAAATAAAACGTTGCAAGCACGTGTTTTGTATTTACATAGGGTTACACAGAATTACTTAAGGTAAATTCAAAACTGATGCATGTGTATAATTTTATCCTATAAATAAATTTTATATGGTCACCACATTAGACAAGGACACCGCGACCAAAAAGTATTCTCTTTCGAGACCGATTTCTCGGCATCAGACAGCACTCCAGTTGTAGGTACTTATTAACTCCATGATCCCTATGTATGCTTAAATCTTTAAAACTACGCAACGGATTAGATGCGGTTTTTTTTAATAGATAGTGGTTGAAGAGGAAGGTTTATATGTTTAATAGCATCCATTAAATTGTCGAGAAATCAATAATAAATTACAGTTTCCGAAGCGAAGCGAGGGCAGGTCGCTAGTTTTAAATAAATAAAAGACGAACAAACAATTTTTACATTCGAACATTAACGAACAAACGACGATCAAATAAATAAAAATAAAAATAAACCGAAAATCCAAAAAAGGGAGGCCAAATTCAGTAAGCCGATATTAGGTACGGTATGTACCTATCTCCATTATCTATGCCATAGATTACACACTTAATATATTCGAGATATAATATGATCTATGCAATTAACCGTGTTGACTGATAAAATGATTTTTTCAAAAATATCTGCTTTAAGTTCAAATAACGCAAAAGTTATAGTTAATATTTCAATTATTATATCACCAATAGGGACGATCATAGCTGCAGCTGACAATGATTACCTGTATATCGTATGTTTTGAAGATACAAAACAATTTGAAAATAAATTTAAAGTATTGGCTAAAGAGTTATCTTGCCGTTTTGTTCACGAAGAAAACAAAATTTTAAACACATTGAAAGAAGAACTGTTATGTTATTTCAATGGAAATCTAAAGAAATTCTCTGTACCGCTGAAAACTCTTGGTTCTGACTTTCAAAAGGTATTAAGGAATATTTATATTAATAGGTAAACTAGTGTCATAATATGAGGCCCCATGTACGCACCACCATCCTGACTATTGCGTTTCGGTCTGGAGGATGGGACAACCATCATACAACATAAACAAGATTCAGTATGTTCAGTACTTTGATTATATACACGTATATAATCGTGTATATATCGTGTGTATAATAAAAATATATACGTGTATATAATCAAAGGTTCAGTACTAATGTCTATAGGTCATATCTAAATCTCATTAAAATATTAATGCGGACTGTGTTTGGAGGTAAGAGGACAGAAGAGTGAAAAAAAATTTCCAAAGCATAACATAAATTTCAAAAGAAAATATGACATTTATTGGTTGTGAAGAACACTTGTCTTTAAGCTTATTTATAGCAAACAAATAAAATAAAAATGCTTCTTGCTTCCTACAAACAAACTCGAAAAGAAAAGACTGATAGCATTTTTATTGGTAATTTGTGTATTTGTGCATAAACTGAAGATATTTTACCTTCCCTCTGTGGCTCATATACTTGAGTAACCCTAGAGACAAAATCATGTCACTCCCTATAAAAATAGACACCACCAATACTTTTCTTATAAATAGCAGTATTAATTTTTTTAAATTGTTTAACAGAATGTCTGGATGAAATTACAAGAAATTCCCTTTGGCTCCACTTATACATATAGTGACATTACTAAGGCATTGGGACGACCAACAACCCNACGGTCCGTCGCCCGTAGGCGGGGTCCGCCAGGCGGCGAGACCACGCCTCGAGCACGGCACGCCGAGATTGAAGCTTCCGCGCTCGAACTTCCGCCGCGCCGGGACGCGGCTCCCCCCTGGAGCGGAGATCACATCGCCACGCGTAATCCGCAGCAAGCGCCTCCGCTTCCAGGTCCCAGGGAGGCGTCCCGGCGAGACCCATGGTCGCCAGAGGCAACCATCAAGCCCAAGCTGCGGAGTGGAGCATTAGTGACCGTGCTTCGGCGCGGAAGGGCAGTTCTTCCCGCAACGCCGGAGATAAAACGGATTCAAACTGAGGGCGCAGAGGGAAGCTCTCTTCGAGAGACTAAGTAATGCTATTTTAATATAAAACATTAACCATGGATATCTTAACCATGGGGTTTTGCGGGTTTTCATGGTGCAGGGAGTAAGTCCTTACACCTGTCCCTCCTGAACTCAAAAATTAATGGACCATAATGGAAATTTTAACACTACTTTAACTAACCTTTGGAACCTCTGGGTCTGCGGAGGGACTTCGCTTCTCTCTGTGTTTTGTACCGCACCGTATGTTCCATGGGGAGTGCTCTGAGGAATTGTTTGAGATGATTCCATTATTTCATTTTTACCATCGCACTACCCGCCACCGGAGTAGAGTTTATCCATACTACCTGGAGCCACAGCGTTCATCCACAGTGCGTTTCCAGAGATATTTTTTGCTACGTACCATCCGGCCTTGGAATGAGCTCCCCTCCACGGTGTTTCCCGAGCGCTATGACATGTCATTCTTCAAACGAGGCTTGTGGAGTGTACTTAACGGTAGGCAGCGGCTTAGCTCTGCCCCTGGCATTGCTGAAGTCCATGGGCAACGGTAACCACTGACTATCAGGTAGGTCGTATGCTCGTCTGCCTACAAGAGCAATAAAAAAATTACCGTCAAAACATTAACCGTACATAACCATGAGGCTCCCCGGGGTGGGGATAGAGTAAGCCCTTCGCATTCGCCGAATATATTGTGGAAGAGCAACCCCGTCGGCGGTATGTCGCGTTCCATCCCGGCAGGCTGGTTCTGGCCCAGCGGGGTATCCCGGAACACCGGCGGCATCGCCCGAGGATTAATGGCGTCGTTGGTCGTCGACTATCGCCTCGACGACCCGTCGGTCTAGCGTCCTCGGGGTGGCGCCGTGTGTCTGGTTGTAGTGTTGACCGCTGACCGCGGGAACAACCCTACTCTGACCGGGTTTTGACTTCGGACGGAGATCGGACGTCAGATGTAAGAGTGCAGGGGAGTTGTTTAGTGCGGTAGGGCCCTAAAATTCTTTGGGCCCGCGGTCTGCTCCCAACACCTGCAGATCGTCAAGTCCCACATATCCCGCGCGCTACCTCGTAGGAGTTTCGGCCCCATTACTGAAAAAAAAAGAAGGGGGTAAGCCCTTAGCCCCTCCCTCGCCCTAAACACGTCATTACGGATCATTCCGATCCATTAACGGTGCTTTTAGGTACCTTAAGCACCGGTCACCGTCTTCGTCGAACCCATCGCTTGCGACGAAGGGCTCGCCGAGTAATTAACCCAAAGACACAGCCCACTGAATTTCTCGCCGGACATTCTCAGTGGGTCGCGTTTCCGATCCGATGGTAGATTCTGCGAAGCACTGCTTTTGCTAGGTCCGGTCTTAGCAACACCTCAGGTTTGAGCCCCGAGAGCTCACCTACACGCTAGGGAAACGCTGATATAGCCTCTCAGGGCTATCACCATATCAGCATTTTTTTCAGTTAACGCTTTGTAATAATATTATTGTATATGTGACTACCACTGATGCTATAGACACGAGTAACGAATAGTTTAGTTGAAAGAAATTCGCCATGTTGAACTCGATCGGATGATTTTGAACTAAGTTTCGGAATTCCTGTAATGCCTCTGTTGATTCTCGACCTGTAAAGAATACAATTATAAAAAGACCGAGTCTATTGGAACCAATCAGGAAAACGAGAACAAGTGGGTGTTAGCGATTTCCACCTCTATAAAATATAAAAAAACACATTCGATAAAATGTTTTCCATAACCATAAATGATCGCAAATATACTTATTATTAAAAAACGTCAGACATACGGTGTCTATAATAAGGGTAGGTACGGAATTGCAGCCGTCTTCTAATTAGATGGTAGGTACGGATTTGCAGCCGTCTTCTAATTAGATTGGATCGCAAAATGGAATGACAAATGGCTAAAACTTACCTATCCTAAATTGCATTGATTCATTAAATTTTTTGCTCAAATTTTCTAAAAACATTGATGTATTATTAAAGTTATGTACTGTATACTATCATCTCTTTAGTGTCGGGTGTAACCTGTTATTAAAACTTTCATTCTGTATGAAATATAACTAGTTAATGACCCATTTTAATTCATATAATTATTCTAATGGTAGTATGCATAATTAGGAATAATAAAACTAAGTATCGAACCAAAATATCTCCATTATTGTTTTTGTTTTTTTTTGTTTTTAATTTGTTGTGTGTAAATATGTGTTGACAATTTCGTAGTAGCCTAAACTTTAAAACGCTCGTACATCATCAAAAGTACAAAAATTCAAATAAAGTCTCACAGTTTTAATAAATCTTGATTGATGTAATTATGTGTTTTGTGCTTACTGAGATTTTTATTCACGATCATATGATCTATGACGTTGCAGATCCTAGTTCTTTGATAGTAGACCCGTTCACAGTGACTCACTAAGTTAATTATGACCGCACCACATGTTAGTAGCCGGAATATACTCGAAACAGCCGGGAAGTAACCACAGTTATAAGCTAAGTTCTGCAAATATAAAAAAATAAATAATTAGGATGCATATTTTACATACCTACATCTGTGTTGATCCGGAAAATTTCATACAGTAAATATAATACCGAAAAACGGGCAAAGTGGGAGAGTTTAAGTAGGAACGCGGAATCGGGCACTAAACCGGGAAAACGCTTGGAAAAAGAAGAAGAAAATATAATGATAATGCCTCAACATATCGGGAAACAATTATCTTTTACATTTTACACGAGTATTGTCAATGTATATCGTGTACTTTCAATAGTTTATTTATTTTAAATTTGTACCTACTGGTTTACTATACCATTGCTTAATGTATAAATTTAAACATTTTCTTTTATTTTGATTGTACCTAAAGTATGATATATATTGCATTAAAATACTAACTGATGATAGGGCATCTTGTGAGCCCACCCAAGTGCCTACCACTGTTGCGTTTCTGTTTGAAGGGTGGGAAAGTCGCCGTACTATAAAACTGATATTTAGAACTCGTGTCTCAAGATAGATGGCGGCATTTATGAGTACATTGTTGATGTCAGTAGACTCCGGAACCGCTTAAAAGCAGGTCGATTGTGAATTCGTTCACCCATCAAGCAAAAAAATATATTGGTATTATAGAATGTAAAAATGTACAACTTTCCGTTGCATGATTCGTATTTTAAACGCAGTCGGATTTATTTTTTTATCGAATAAATCATATTATTTTCACACTTTTTAATTAAATTTCTGAGTTCTGGGTCTATAGTTATATTGGCCGTTTTCCAATTACAGCACAAGAGCGCATTATGCGGCATAATGCTCAACTAAGCTTCAGCATAATTCGGCATTGTGCGTCACTGAGTCGCATTATGCTCTTTAATTGGAAAACTACCTGTATTCGTTTGTATTACCTGTATTAGTAATTGGAAAACGGCCATTATATAGTTCTGTGGTTAAATTATTCCTTTGGCCTTACAGTGTTCTATGGGCATCTCACTATTCAAAGGGAGAGACTTTTTGGCGGGAACGCGAGGAGTGAAGTTGTGTGATTTGTTTTATTATGTCTATTTAGTGTTTCTTTAGGTTTAAATGTGTAATAACGGTGGTTTATTAACTGTTTAATATCTGTGAAAGTGCACAAATGTGGGAAAATGAAACAAAACCGCTGGACGTAACTTCTCGGGATACTCAAAAAAGTCCACCGAAAAGATCTCAGTAAATGACCACTATCTTACTGAGATTATGTATTTCATCCCATATCATCGCATCTCATTTCATTTAATTTCATCCCAGTTGATTGATGTCCCAAATTAATCATCTTCATTTCATTTAATTTCACTCCATATTATCATTTTTCATAAAATTAAAATAAGACATGACTTAAAGGTCTTAGTTACTAGGTCATAAAATCCTATTAAAAATATATTCAAAGGGATTCGACGCAGACGCACCCACTTATTAACTCCATGGACGCACCTTAATCCGGTAGACAGTTTACGGTGTAGAGCGTAAATAATTATACCTAAATAAATAAGCTCCTTCGACAATTTGATAAAAATAAGTTTTTTCATGATACATACCTGGGACCCAATCATGATTCGGACTGATATATTTGTAAATCTAACCATATCAATGAGTAAACTCAAACTATTTAGAAGTATCTGAAAAAAATAAATAAAATCCTTAGTTTTTTTTTTCCTACCTAAGCTGATGATCTAGAGAAACCATGTCAGCATCGCCGGGCTAGTAGGTGAGCTCACGGGGCTCAAACCTGACGATGTTACTAACACGAACCCTAGCAAGAGGCATGCTACGAAGAATCTATCACCGGATCGGAAACGCGAACCACTGAGAAGATCCGGTGAGAAGCTCCGGTGGGCTGTGTCTGTGGGTTAATTTACTGGCCGAGCCGAGATATTAGTTCTAAGTTTCAGTTCTAGTATAAGACAATCGTTACCTCACCCTCAAAACTCCAATGCATTACTGCTTTGCGCCAGAAATAGAAAGAGGCTTACTCGTGCAGGCTCACAAGACTCCGTACCAAAAGTAATTCCGCAAATTACAATTTTTACTAGCTTGATTTTGATTACAAGATGTTTTTACTTCATCGTGGAAGCTAATTTTCGAAAAGCATCCAAGACTTGAACTGTTCTGTTTTCAATTAGGTACGTTTCAGTTAGGTAAGTATGATACTACTCTGAACAGAGATCGATCGCTTCATTGGTCCCATTGCTAATAGCGATTGTGACGGCTGCACCACGGTTCCGGATTTTATTTCCGGCCCGCGTAAGTCAGCTTTGTTCACTTTATTTAATATTCGACCTCTGGATGTACTTATTTGTGTATTAAAAGTGTCATTAACATATCGTCTTCTCGCATTAAAACTGTATAATCTCAAAACTTACTAATTTTACAGGAGAGTGTTTTAAAGGTTTAAAACATGTGATATTTTTAATATTGATCATCTTTGCAACATTTATTTTTTATTTTGTACCAGTTAACTAAAGTACGCTCTTTTGACAGTACTTATTTATGAGAAAAATACTGGTGATACCAAATGATTCCACATATTAAATAAATTTCGAATATTTTTGGAAATTGTACACTTTTAATGCGAAAAGACGATATGGGACAATCGAAGCTTGGAGCCTTATAATGCGGAAATTTATAAATAAGGTATATTATGTGAAAGTAACGTATATATTACGTCACGCGTGAAAAAAATACCATGATCTGTTTTCCGAAACGCGCCATAAGAAAGCAGTTTCAAAGAAAAAGAAATGAAATACTCACACGGAAACCATACATTCTATTAATGATCTCGACTTGCTCCGTAAGCATTAAATAGCAACGGCTTAGCAATTTTATTTCATTATTATTACAAGAAAGCTGTTTCAGAGCGTGAATTCTGAACTGTAGTTCATAGTATTTTGCACGCTCTTTAGAATTCAACCAGTTCTTATGACACAAAGTCTCTTCGGCTTGAAAGTTATCCTCACAGCTCATATAATAATGATGTATTAAATCAGCAATCATCTTCAGTCTAATTTCCACATTCATTATATGCGCTGATAGGTCCAATGTGGTCAGTATTTTAATGAGTAAGAAAATGTAGGCTACTGAATACACTAGAGGCGTGATCCATCCATAGTTCAGAAACCAAGCTATGAAGTCAAAACATGAACTTGAAAACCAAATGCACATAAATACCCATAACAATTTCACTATTCTGTGCTTGATAATCTCATAACATACAACCTCAAGTATTTTATCAATAATTTTGTATTGTTGAAAATATTCCGAGCTAATGTTTCTTCCATAATTCGTAACAAAATACAGGTCGACAATATATTGACAAAAGTCATACACCATTTGAACGCAATCCGTAATTTTAATTGAAATATTAACGTAGTCAAATACATAGATGAATTTGTAATACAAACTGTAAAAAATTAATGAACAAAGAACAAAAGCGGTCATGGTTATTCTGAGCTTAGCAGAACATTTTAGATCAATTTCCTCAATATTACTATTTAGTGCGAAGATTTTTAACAGTTTTGTAGTTGGTGAAATTGTATTCATTGTAGTAAGTTTTGTTGACTTTAAATGTATCACTGCATTACCGATTTGCATAGTTACCTACAATACGATTACGACATAAAGACACGACTGGCACCGAGCTATGAATTAGAATGAGTGTCTAATAATAAATGTTTCAATTTAATATACCCTTGAAATGTGTATAACTGTTGAGTATTGAATAATTGATTGATCTCATCGCTACTAATGAATGTGATATACATTTTTTTAATGTTTCGTATTTAATATCATATATAACTAATGGACTCGACAGACCTTGTCCTGTGCTCAGAATGTTCGAGGTCACCTTGTGAAGGTTACTCTCCTGAATGTATGAGGTAGCAAAGCTACAAAATCTATTCCGCAAGTACATTTTTCTCAATAAAAGGTACCTTATCGTTTCCTGTTTCTTCTCTGACAACGTATACGCATCATTTCATGATACCAACGAAACGGTTGCGACGCGAAAGCGGTACAAACCACCTTCGCTTCCAATATTAAAGTATGGATGTATACCGTTCTGAAATTGCTTGCACTAGGCAATTCTATCGTATTAATGCAGAATAAGCATTAATGTCTTTATCCATGACCCTCCTTATCGTGGCCGCCGCTAACTACCTACATATCCGACACATGCGTCGGGCCAACGCAGAGCCACCGTTGTCCGAACACATGTCTTGTCGGATTTCCCGAATCCACTCTCAGTTCTTTTTGTTTTAATAAACGAGTTCGACGAGCGAACTAATCCATAGATACTGATGATCAGATCACCGACTTTCTCGCAATTCCGATCCTGTGGTAGATTCTGCAAAGCACCGTTCTTGCGAGGGCTTGTGTTAGCAAATTCTCTCATGTTCAGTACGTGAACTCACCTACCCGTCCGTACGTATAAAATAACGTTATAACGGTTGTTTATTAACGTTTTAGTATCTGTGAAAGTGCACAAATGTGACAAAATGAAATTAAGCCTTTGGACGTAGCTTTTCGGGATTATGTGTACTAGTGTATAAAATAACTTCCTGTTTATATATGACAGACCGGTAAAACGGCGTGATTCGGGACAAATTCCAATTTGATGAATCATTTTAAGGTAGTTGTTGACATCTAAAATGATATATCAGGATCAAAATGATTGAGTCTTGGGGGCATCTTTGTTATCCAATTTAAAGCTATGCAATTAGCATTCCAGTTTAAGCAAAAAAAGGAAAAATAGGTGTTATCCCTATTTACCAGAAATTGCGGTTATTGGGGACGAAATTAGTGTAAATAGAGAAATTTGCTAGGGCTGGCACTCCTTGGTTTTAATTAATTAATTTATTTAGTTGCACTAACAAAGTAATCTATCTATATATATAAAAATGAATTGCTGTTCGTTAGTCTCGCTAAAACTCGAGAACGGCTGGACCGATTTGGCTAATTTTGGTCTTGAATTATTTGTGAAAGTCCAGAGATTAGGTTTAAAAAGTAGATAAATATGAAAATGCTCGGTATTAAATAAAAATAGCAATTTTATTTTTCCTTTGATGTGGACCCCCGTCGGACGGATTCATTTTGTTTGTTTTAAGTTTATTTTATATAAAAGCTTAGGTCTTTTATTTATTGATTGAGGGAGGCACTACGAAGTCTGCCGGGTCATCTAGTCATCAATAAAAAACATTGAAAAACTGACAAAAGTACATGGCAGATGTCACCTCAATCATAGGTGCAATGGACAATGCATTGACAACAAAAATAAAACCAAAAAAAAAAAATATATAACCAAAACATGAATACATTTTTTTTTATTATAGCTTATATGGGTGTACGAGCTTACAGCCCACCTGGTGTTGTGGTTACTGAAGCCCACAGACATCTACAACGTCAATGCGCCACCCACCTTAAAAAATATCTGGGTTAAGAGATTAGGTGTGTCCGTTATTCCATGGATTAATCAGGTGGATACCCCCACTCTTAACAAATATTAATATATTTTATTATGTGTTACTTAGACATTTTTATCCATCTTGAGATTTCATTGTTCTAATTACATGTTAGTGCAAAACCCAGTTACTTATGTTAAATTGCTTAGCTATTTCAACTAAAGACTTATTCCTAATTTCATAGGCTTCTATTACTGTTTTTAATATTAAGGGATCATATCTCTTGTAAGGATTTGCACTCTTTGATACATACACGCGAGGCATAAAAATAGAAAACAACACGTAGCTGATAATATAAATATTTGCCAAACAATAAAATAACACTGCATTGATAATTTTGAATAAAATTTCTAGACAAAAACATCATGAATAAACCAGATTCTTACCAACAAATTTAAAAAATATTGTTATAACTATATAAATAACCCTACAAATCTGTACCTATTTACACTTAAGTCGTTTCCATTTAACTTATTCTCATCCCAATTGACCTCCTTTTTCGTTGTTATTTGGACCTGAGACGTCCCCAATATCCCCAAAAACAACAGATTTTTACACGTATTTTTGTTTTATCAAAAACATTAAAACCAATGACAATTGAGACTTACCTTTAATTTAAATGATGGTTCACACCCTAAATAACGTTTACAAATCACAGTCGTCTTCTATTATTATCAAATAAATAAAAGAGAGCAGTTTCTAGCACTAAAATAATTACCACCACAAGAAGTTAATTTCAAATGCGATTTTTTCTAGGTTAGCAGTTATTATCATGCATATTCAGAGTTGTTTTGTGAACTTTCAACATTCTACTATTACACAACCCAAAAGGAAGATTTTGCAACGATTAAAAAACTAGTATTAAGCGTCGAAAGATTTTCCTAGTTTTTTCTCCTTTTTTTTTTTATTGCTTAGATGGGCGAACGAGCTCACAGCCCACCTGGTGTTAAGTGGTTACTGGAGCCCATAGACATCTACAACGTAAATGCGTCATCCACCTTGAGATATAAGTCCTAAGATCTCAGTATAGTTACAACGGTTGCCCTACCCTTCAGACCGAAACGCATTACTGCTTCACGGCAGAAATAGGCGGGGCGGTGGTACCTACCCGCGCGAAAGTGTGATGTCTATGGTCACATAAAACAGATAAGGCTGTATCGGCTTAGATCCCTTTGCCATTCCTAATAAGGAAAAATTGTACCAAAAAAATTCTATGGTCATGTTATGAATGTCTAAGAAGAAAATAATCTGAAATTTATTACCTACGTTGTAGGAAATTCACAATTCAAAAGTTTTAATCTTTCTAGATAACAAAAAACAAAAAAATTATGAACTTAACTTACATATATTTTTCAAATTAAAGTTGAAGTTATTTTGTCCGGGAGTTGAAAGTTGTATGTTCCCGTGAATTACAGAGAAAGTGAGTTATTTAGCTTAAAGTTATTTTTCACTTCTTTTCAACTATCGTAATGTAATTTGGGTATGGGATGGAATTCTCGACTGAAACTTAGTAACATCTGCAATCTTTGTGAATTTAATAGGAATAGACATGTCAAAAATTTTCAGGAGACACCAGTACCAGTATTTTAATGAACAAAAATCTTAACAACATGAACTTTAGATTTAAATTGATACGATTCATTTGAATTTTCAACATCTACCATTAGTCATCATTTTAATTCCGTGTGTCTACCCAATATAATTAAAATTACTTTTTAATCTTGGTCATGTTATCTCTATATTTAGAAAACTGTAAATTTTTCGTTACGGGATTAAATCTTTTCATTTAATCAAAATTGCGTAATAAAATAAGAAAATACAAAAATATATAAACATATAACGGTACTTATGTATTAACACCACTGCAGCAAAAATTCATTCTTGTAGCACTAAAAATTGGGCCAAACAGCAGCAAATAACAAGACAATAAGGACACTAAAGATCTCTTCTTGCGTGTGCAAACAACAAGGCGACTATAGATAACAAGATCGCTTTTTATTAGTAAAATATTTGAATTATTGCTGCGGTGGTGTTCGTAAGTACCCATATAACTAATGTTATGTTTAGAATAACTATTGAGAATTTAAGTGAAACAGTAGTACTGGAAATAGTCTACTACATATAGTACTGTAATGTATACAATCTATGTTGTCAATATAATGAATAATCCATGAATGAATCCATGTAAATTTTAGTTTAGAAACCATGTCAATTTTAATGGTGGAAAGTGTAAATGTGTTAATTTCAGTTTCTATCCAAAGATGGGGGGTTGTCGGTGTACATATCGGAACTGCACTGTCCGTTCAGATGGAGTAACACACATGTTTCATTACCCAGTATTTGATAAAGTAAGATGTCATCAATGGTTAACAAATGCACAGAGATTAGATTTTTTAAATTTAAAAGTGTCCCAATTAAAGAATCGAGTTGTGTGCCAACACCATTTTGAAGATTATTGGTTTATGAATTTTAAGGTTAGTAAATATCTTTCTCATTTAGATTCAATACTCAATTAGATTCTTAAAATAATTTTACTCAAACTAATGTAATCTACTTACTATTATACAGCCCAAGACCAGTAATTGCATAAACTGTCATTGCCATTTATTGTTTATGCTTCAAAAAGGAGACTAAACATGGGTGGTTGTCCCACCAGTTGTGAGTCCACATCAAAACAAAATTGTATTAATCACTATCTGGGAGATGGATGGTTCTGGTTAACAATGGACATTGTAATCTCCAAGAATCACATTTTCCAAATGGACCCATGTCACTGCAATATATACAGTGACAGTTTTCCACACAGCTAGTGTAGGCATTGAATTTATATGGTGTACAAGAACAATGACATCATTATTCAATGTAGTGCACTTGGTCTCACATGACCAAAACACTGAGAATTTTTGTTTATGAACAATTTTAAAATTGTCTTTTTTTTGTTATTATTATTAGATTTTATGGGGCAATAAAATTTACTTAATTAATGTGGAAATTGTCATATTTTAATTTTGTTTAAACTTGAAGTGGTTAATAGTCTCACAGCTCATCCAATGGCAAGTGGTTATCAGAAGCAAAATACATAAAAAAATATACCATGAATCATGAGGTTGAAGGTACACAGACAGTTACAATGTAAAAAAAGGAAGTAAGTGTGAAACTACAATTTAAATTACTAACATTGCAGAAAGAAAAGTTAAAGTTTGAAGCTGTTCCAACATTGAATGGACCATTTTGTGAACCGAAAGAAGACAAAACATCAGCATCTGATAAAATGTTCCCAATAACACTAGAGGATATCGAAAATGAGGTTCTCACAATTTCTGATAAGAAAGCAAATTTTTCAGTGAAATATGTAAATTTTCTAACCAACAATGAGTTAGATGATGTAGATTTATTGAATAATTATAACAAATTTTATACACCTAAAGCTAAACAAATTGAAATAAAAAATGTAACAACTTTAAATGAGGGTGTTAATCAACAAAATAGAAAACAACACTGGTCTGGAAAATTAAGATCGTCAAAGGGTATAAAACAGAACGTTATTTCAGAAAATTCTAAAAATGACGATTCGAACGCAAATCTAAATCTTACAATGTTAAATAATCCTGTTACATTAAACGTGGAATTTATTCCACAAGAAGAAAATAGACCAGAAGTTTGTAAAATTATTGATGATACAACAGATAAAATTATCAAAAAGTATTCATCACATGAAACAACAAGCCAGTATACACCATCTGTTTTAACAGTTCCAAATACGAATGAGATTGTAATCGCAAACCTGAATCAAGATGATTTCCAGCATAACGTTTGTAACAAAAGTATGCCTAACCTTGAATTGTATGCAGAACCACCACAATCTCAACTAAAATTCGAACCTCTCAATTCTTTTAAAGACAAGAACAAAGCAGTCCACATATTAGAACAACGAAAAATTTCCTCATATATCCCCATTCCTAAATATTTACAACCACTATCCCCTAGTGGAATATTAAGACTACCTATTCGGAAAACTACAAACAATACTAATTGTTATTATAGAAATACTGTAAATCCGAATCCTATTGTCCCTACTACCTCTAGCATAGATAATAAACCTCATATAAGTAGTGTTTACCACATAGATATTAAGCCTCACGTAGATAGTAATCCCAATATAGATACTACCTCTAATGTAGACACTAACTGTAATGTAGATATTAATCCTAATGTAGACGCTATTCCTAATGTAGACATTAATACTGAGGTAGACATTAATCCTAATGTAGACATTAAGCCTAACATAGATATTAATCCTATCATAGATATCAACCCCATCATAGATGTTGACCCTAACACAGATATTAATCGTAACATAGACATTAATTCTAATATAGATATTGATCCTAATGTAGATATTAATCGTAATTTAGATACCACTTCTAACATACATACTAAAGCTACTGCTGACGACGAAGAACAAGAAAAGTTTATTCCATCCAGAACTGTTCAAAATATTGATTCTGTGTTAAAAAATACGAAAGATGACAAATGCAGAATGGCTACAAAACAATCGCCTAATAAAAGTCTTTTAAAAAATAAAGTAAATGCTAAGCAACTAGCATCTATTAAAGAAAAGAGAAAGTTTAATATGAAACTAAGAGATGTGATAGAGTCATGCTTAGATAATCAAGATAATGATAATAAAATCACAAACAGTAACTCGGCAGACAAATGTACCAATCTAGAGAATATAAAAAACACGAAAATAATGGAATTGAAAAATTCTAATGTAACAAGTTCATTGTCAAAGGATCCCAATTTACCTAGTATTGGAGAATATTCTATTGCGTATTTAGAAGCCAGAATGAAAAGAATGGAAGACATATTACTTAATAAGATAGATCAGAATTCTCAACGAATTGTTGAACTAAAAAATACAGTTGTGCGTTCAAAAAAAAAATCAGTCCATACTCAAACAGCTCACACTGACGAAACTTACAAGAAGTTCCTCTACAATGAAATATCAAAATACTTGAGCCCCGATAGCAACAGCTTAATTTACGAAGAACTTTTCATTAGTAAATATGCGCAAAAATCATGTAAAGTTTCTCCATCGCCTAAAAAACGTCGCAAAAGGTAACGATAGTAGACATAAATACAAACGTTTTATGAAAATAAATGTAAATAGCACGTCCTGTAAAATAATTTTATTGTGTATAAATATAATACATCATAAAAATTACGTTACTTTGACTATACTCTTTCCAATGTTGTCACCTCTGAACAGCCCGATAAATGCATCGATGACTGATTCGAAGCCTTCAGTAAGATGTTCCTTGTACTTTAGTTGACCGCTTTTGACCCAAGCCAAGTTTTTCTGAATGCCTTCCATATTCCTGTCGGCAAATCTATTCACTTGGAACCCTTCTACTTTCAACTGTTTACTTACAATTGATGGTTGAACTACAGTGGCTGTAATTGCAAATGCTATTAGCACAATTTGCATATATTAATAAAAAAATATATCGATATATGACTTAACTCTACCTTTAAGTTTATCTGCATTTGTTTCGTTGTATGTTGAAATAGCGCCACAGACCGCAACTCTACCAAAAGTTCTCATGTGAGATAAAACTACACTGCTGAGCTCTCCACCCACATTATCAAAATAGCAGTCTACACCGTTGGGAGCAGTACCTTTGAGGAATGTAGGTATGTCAGCAGTTTTATAATTTGCTACGTGATCAAAGCCAGCTTCCTGAATCAACCATTGGCATTTTTCATCTGTGCCTGCGAACCCTATAACTACACAACCTGAAAATATAAATTGATCTGCTATTATTAATATTGATTATTTTACGTGAAACCACTATCTTATAGTAATGGAAGACATGTTTCTTGCATGTTTTATAGAAGTTCAGTGAATTGCGAACGGTGAATTTGGATTTTGTTCTATCTACCGCAGTTAGCGCTCTGCCACCAGTACTTTTGTATTCATTTTCTATAAGACAAAGGGAATCTACAGGGACGCTATGCATTGTTCCCTGTCATGCTTAGAATAATAACACATAGAACGATAGTTCTCTTCAAAGCGGTCTGTCAAAAGTGAGGCAAAAATATAATCTATGTGTGCGTAAGGTACTTGTATTTACGCTCGACGAAACGCACACAGTGAAAAAAATAATGTTGCCAATTTCTCTAAAAATAGGGAAGTTGAAACTATTACTTGTGATCACAGAACAAATGTGATTATTAGATTACACCTTTTATTTATTTGGAACTCATCAATTATTATTGCTGAACTAATGACAAGGCCCATAGATCCCCTAAACGATTAGGAGTTAAATATAAGTGCAATTCGTCTATCGAAACTGCTCGGTAGTAACCCGTTTTGTTAAAGTCCTAAATAATCTAACGTACCTATTTACCAGACTACACGAATATTGCCTGCATGATGAAAATAAAACTTGTATACAATTTTTTGTTGTTTTGTTTAAACCCGCCACCACACGACCTACTGCAAAATACTTACGTTATTTGGTGTAAAGTTATTATTAATTAATTTTTGGTGGCATTTTTTATAAGGCGGTTTTTTTATTTAATAATAGTGTAACTTACAAAAAACACGCGAATATTCTAATTCACTTAGAAGCGTTCTAGTTTACGTCTGTATCCGTAGTCAAGCAAAGTAGTTACTTTTGCTTAAGGAATGACCTAAGAAAATATTTTTTACTCAAACAAATAAATAGCCAGAAATGTAGAGAAAAGTCATGTTCCAAGTTATAACTTGTCTATAGATAGATACGGATTTTAGAGTGATCGAGGTGAGAACACTTATGAGAAAGAAAAACAAATAACAAATATAATTATTTATTTCAGTACCCTTGTAACAGCTGCAACTGTTTTCTGAACAATTGTCGCTTTGATGATAGGAAGGAAACCTAAAACCAAACCAAAACATAAAATTACATATTATTATTATTATAAGTATGCGAGCTTGTTGTCTTTTTGTCTCAGTTTCCTTATTAATCAATTAAATTTAATAAAAAAAAGCGCTTTTAATTACCTAATTGAGACGTGTTTCACTTTTAATTAAACAACAAAATGTGTGAGAATATTTCCCCGTGTTGGCAACATTTTCATAAACTATGGCATTACAAATTATTGAAATTTATTTTTCATTTTGATGAATGTTTTACGTAAAAATATACGTTCAAACGCATTACTTACCCGTGAAATGTAATGTTACTATCTTTCTTGTGTTTTTCCGATGTAGTATGACATCCGTTAATTGAACAAATCGTCATTTTTAATAAAAAATTCGGGAGTACTTTTCACTACGACACGTCCTTGAGCACTGACGGGCCGAATAATGAACTTAGCCAATATGGCTAGGTTTGAGTTGCCTCACTTTACGGAGGCTGACTCGGTTTCTATGTGTTATTATTCTAAGCTGTCATGCATATTAAGTGATTTTTAATTACGTTACATTGATCGTGATCTTTATTGCTAATATGTTAAGAGTCACCAAGAACTTATCGATGTTAATTAGACAGATAATGAATTCTATTTAAGATTGAAATAAATCACTTCTATGCTATGTACATTTATGTTGCTCCGTACATTTTACACTTTTCTGTTATTTGGTACCTATCTAAAAATGCACTTTCTTTTAAGAACTATCATAGACACCCATTTGATAACACGGAGAGATCTCATTCCACAGTTTGAGATTTTGTGTGTAACAGATTTAAATAAACGTACCCATTATTTTCGCAATTTGACCAACATGGGACCCCACAGCTCCTGCCGCACCCGATACTACTACAGTTTCACCTGGTTTTGGTTGGCAGATTTGACTAAAGCCGAAATATGCGGTATTTCTATAATAAATTTTAAATTCCAAATAAATAAATTAAAACAAGGACTGCACCTAATTAATACTCATTTTATCAACGTTAAAATAATATTGAAATGTGGACGAATAATAGCTCAGTCAACTGTTACCACGAAAACTGTTATATTTCAAACATCCGGAATAAAAGACTACAAAAAAACGCAAGATTAAACCGTAAAACTAGTTTAATTAAGTCTATGTTTGCGTATCAATTCGAGGCCCAGGTGGTCGTATAAGTCGACATTCCTCACGAACCATGGTGCTCCGACGCCCAACCCGCAAAACTGTGATTGGAGGGTTTGCCTATGCGTGTACGTGCCGCGTGAGCATTAATTGTGTAATTAAGTTTAATTTAGTTTTAGCAATTCATAAGAAACTACACGCCTCTGATTGCATAAATTTTACCACTAGTTTTAATGATTCGCCAGGTTGTTGCTGGTTACTACCTAGACTGAAGACTACCTGGAAATTGTCGTAATAGATCCACTTTTTATATCCTTTGATAATTTGATCCAATTTTTTTTCTTTTCGTTCCTGAATCAGTTCAAGAAAGGCCTCTGTTGCCACATCCCGTGTTTTAATTCTCATTAGATTTGATTGTAATGTTTGTAGAGTGATCCTAACTTCTAAGCAATTTTCATACTGTTATATCCTGTAGATTATTTTTGAAGCATTTGACGTGAGTCTGGTAAATAAAGCCTCCATTTCAATTTTTTTGTTGTTAAATGATTTTTAGTCGCCGACGCGTCGTCCCATCCTCCTGGTGCCAGCACACTAGAGTGACGGTAGCAAAGTCTCAACCCCCTCAGTTCGCCCCGTGACCACCACTGGGAGGAGACTGGCTCTTCACAGGGGAAAAGCTGGACGAACACCCTCCTTTTGCGAGATGGTGGACACCACAACAACTAGTCCTGCTCTGCCTGCATCTAGCAGATTCTTACAACCTTCCTTGCAATTTTACAAAAATTACTAAGACTAATAAGGTTGCTTACTTAATGCATAAATTACTTTTTAACACAGCCTATGAAATTATTGTTTATTTCATCATTATTTATGAAAATAAGTTTAATTTTATCTCACCCTACTCTACCGCAGACACCAAGGCCCAAAGACACAGGTAGATGTTCAAAGTCAGGTAGTTTATACAAGTAGGGTTTTTGTTGACAGAGCTTTTCATTCTCTGGTTTAGTGATTGTATGTGTTCTCCAGCCAAAGTGACCCATAACCAGTGTCCCAACAGGATACTCGGTATTTTTACTTTCAATAACTCTGTATAAAATAAAATTAATGCATAAATTCTTTAAAACACCATGAAATATTATATGTTATTATAAATGAATATATGAATTATGAAGTCTGAGAAAAACGACAAACAGTAAATGCATAGAAAAGTGAAATAGTTTTTAAAATAGAGCTTTTTCTTCCATTTTTGTACTTCAATATAAATAAATTAAATGTAAACTTGATTCAGACTTAATCAACTTTATATTGTATTAGTTCTCTTTCTTACATACTGACCTGGCAATTTGTCCACCAATCATATCACAAGGATATACATTGCCTAGTTTCATTCTTTGATAAGGATCAACACTAAAGTATATTGCTTCTGCTAGAAACTCTAAAAACATAGACCGTCTGTATAATTGCACTGGCAAGAACATTTTAATTATCTCAAATTATAAGGTCACTACAATGCCAAGACATTTAAAATTTTAGGCGTCTAACAAAGTAGGAAATTTTTCTGATTCCGACAAATACAAAATATTCTAATAACTGTAATTACTTTAAATAACTGTAACACCATTTTAAACTTGTACGTTGAAAAATAAATTCGATTCAATGAATAGGAAGAAGTTACGGTATAAATCAATAAATTTACCACTTTCTTGTAATTCGGAAAGTTCCTCTTGAACTATATCAAAATCATTATGTTTGGGTACACCAACAAATGGGTTTACTACTATTATTTTTTTCGCTATAACCATATTTTCGACAAAAGGTTTCAGTAATTTGATGTGATTGTATTACAATCAACGATGAACAGGCTGATAATCAAAGCGCAGTGTGTGAGCTATTGCTATTATCTTTGACATAGAATAAACTCTTGATATTTAATCGTTGATGCCTCAGTTTATCAATTTGCATAACACACCCTTATCACACCCAATCAGGATTGTTGTTTCTGTTTGTTTTCAAATACTAAGTGTATAATCTATGGTTTGTTTAATTCTTCTATTAGGAAGGCAAAGGGAACAACGCCANTCAAAGCGCAGTGTGTGAGCTATTGCTATTATCTTTGACATAGAATAAACTCTTGATATTTAATCGTTGATGCCTCAGTTTATCAATTTGCATAACACACCCTTATCACACCCAATCAGGATTGTTGTTTCTGTTTGTTTTCAAATACTAAGTGTATAATCTATGGTTTGTTTAATTCTTCTATTAGGAAGGCAAAGGGAACAACGCCATGCTTTTATGTTTATAAAGATCGCAGCCATGTCTGTTTTACGAGAAATGAAAAAGAACGGAAATAAAAAAGTAAGTTTTTTGTTGAAATCTTAACCTTTATGCGTGTAATAATAAATGTAAGTAAATTCGTACCATTTTACAGAAACATTTTTCATCTTATCTGATCTCATCTCGTTTCGCCTGTTCATAACTCATTTTGTTAATAATAATTGACATGTTATAAACTCTACACTGGCAACAAAGGAAGCAGATTGTGAAACTAAAAAAAAAAGATGTGCAACTTGTGGGTTCAAAATTAATGAAAGCTAATATTACTTTGCATCGTCATGACACACCCAGCAGATTCATATGAACCAAATTCTTAGGAACTGAATTTTTATTTATCTATGGGTTGAATTCACAGACGTTCACTGCTGAATATCTCCAAGCCTCCCCAAGCCCCACCACAACAACCGGTTAGTTGTCTGCTTTCAGTGGATTCCCGCGAACTTCAATAGGTCGTCAGTCCACCTTGTGGGAGGCCTATTCACGCTAAGTCCGATACGCGGTCGCCGCTCGAGAACTTGAGGCCCCATCGGCTATCTGTTGTACGAGCAACGTGCCCTGCCCACTGCCACTTCAACGACGTAATCCTTTTGGCTATGTCGTATGCCATGGTTTTCCTGCGAATCTCCTAATTCCTGATTTGATTTCGCAGGCAAACTCCGAGGAAAGCCCTCTCCATCGCTCTCTGGGTGACCTTGAGCTTCCTGATTACGTTCACTGTGAGCGACAACATCTTAGTGTCATAAGCCATCACTGACAGCACACAAATTCTAAGTAGCTTTCCGAACGCTGCCCATCCGAGTTGTATTTTTCAAATCCACTCTGATAGAAGCTCTACTGAGATCATTGATCATTGTAAATTTGAATAATTATTAAGGTATTTAAAAAAACACGACTGTTACAAAATTATTGGGTTTATATTTTCTTTACTGATAACCGCCCACCTTGAGATATACGTTCTAAGGTCTCAGTATAGTAACAGCGGCTGCCCCACCCTTTAAGCCGAAACGCATTACTGCTTCACGGCAGAAATAGGCGGGGTGGCGGTACCTACCTGCGCGAACTCACAAGAGGTCCTACCACCAGTCTAGCACAATTATTATCATAGTAAAAAAATGATTTTAATCTAAAGTATAATAAAGTGAAATATGTAGTGGCATAACTAGGTATAATTGAAAGACAATTAATTATATTCAATGAAATTTATATCAATAGATAAACTTAGCTAAACAACTCATTTGATTTTGACGACAGCTTTCCCGGTATTTTCTCCCCTAAGCATACCAACAAAAGCATCCACCATGTTATCAAACCCATGATATACTTTTTCCTCGTATTTTAGTTTACCGTCAACTAGCCAACGAAGATTGGCATTGATACCTTCTTCCCATCTATCAATCCATCTGTCGACCAAAAAACCTTCTATTTTGAGTTCTTTCAAAACAATCGCAGGCTGAAGAATTGTTGCTATAACAAAAATTATGAACTTACTATTTTAATATGATTATGAACAATGATTTTTTTACGTATAAAATATCATTGATTATGAACCATATAAATAAATATTGTTTGAAAACCAAAAAAGCAGACTTGGAAAATTCAATCTTTTTTCTTGTTACTTTTATTACAACCACTTTATATAATACTAGCAGCCCGCTCCGGCTCCGCTCGGGTCTTTAACAAAATGTTCAACGATATTTGACGTTGTTTTATTTTTTTAAATAAAATAACACTTATTGCGGCATAACTATAATAGGTAGACATATGCTGTCGCGAGACTTTTTGTAAATAATAATGTGTTATACAAAGCCGTAGTACATTATTTTATCCTATCATCATTATTTTTCGCAGGGCACGCGACGTAAAGAATACTTTAGGTAATTTTTTTTACACCTTGAGTTACATTATTGGAGTTTTAGTAAGGATCCCTAATTTTTTTCAAAAAAGATTATAGCCTATGTCACTCGGGAATACTGTAGCTTCCAAACAGTGAAAGAATTTTTCAAATCGGTTCAGTAGTTTCGGAGCCTATTCAATACAAACAAACAAACAAATCTTTCCTCTTTATAATATTAGTTTAAACAAATATTTTCATATACATATTTTTTTCTTTTCATTTTGTCATTCCCGTCATTTCGAAATTGAATCCAATAAAAATAATATTAATTCTAAAAAATTCTAAATCTAAATTCTAATTCCAAACATACTCAAAAAATAAAAATTTTAAACTGCAACGGCAAAAAAATGACTAAAATGAGGCCAGTTTATCAGCATCGTTTGACATGAATTTAGGTGTTGTAAATAATGTGAAGCATACTGATTATTTATGTATACTAATGAAAATTAACCATTAAACCTAAATGACTAGTCCTCGATTTATATCGGCATGACAGAGGCACGCACAAGTAAATAGATCCGCCATCCTGCTTATTTCTATCTCGAAGCAGTTTACCGGGTTTACGGATGACGAAGCCGATATACAACAAAATTGAGACTTCAAATTAATGTTGCAACGTTGGTGGCGGGTTACGCGCTTGTGATATCTATCGACTATGGGAGCCACATACATCAGGTGGGCAGTGAGCTGGTCAACCGATTTATCCAATACCTTTATCATTTTTAATTTGTTATGAATTGAGGAACATAGTCCGAACAAAATACCTCCGTAAAGGTCTCCCTCAGCACTGAAGAATAATTTACCGATTCAAGGAGGACTTTGAAATTGAACTTAGAAAAAAATATTCGAAAGTTGCGGTTTTGTTTTATTGTCTAAGTGGCATGGCGGCTCGGTGACGGAGCGGCTCATATAGTGTCCATGAGCATCGGTAAATCGAAATCTGCCTCCTAAAGCCATACAAAATCAACAATTTCAGGAGATGAAGCTAAAAGTGATACTCCAATTATGTTTTTTTTTATTGATTAGATGGGTGGACGATCTCACAGCCCACCTGGTGTTAAGTGGTTACTGGGGCCCATAGACATCTACAACATAAATGCGCCACCCACCTTGAGATATAAGTTCTAAGATCTCAGTATAGTTACAACGGTTAGTTATAGTTAAACCGAAACGCATTACTGCTTCACGGTAGAAATAGGCGGGGTGATGGTACCTACCTGTGCAGACTCATAAGAGGTCCTAGCACCAGTGATTACGCAAATTATAATTTTGCGGGTTTGATTTTAATTACACGATGTTATTCCTTCACCGTGGAAGTCAATCGTGAACATTTGTTGAGTACGTATTTCATTAGAAATAATTGGTAACCGCCTGCGGGATTCGAACACTTGTGCATCGCTACATACGAATGCATCGGACGTCTTATCCTTTAGGCGACGACTACTTCAAAAGTTCAAAGATGTGAGTTCATTATCTGTGGAAGTGAGAGAAAAAATGCTATTTTCTGTGTGTGGAATCGCTGTCATCGGGCCAAATATATCTATAGTAGACAGAGCGGAGTTTATCTGTCTGCTGTCGTCATAAGCAGTTGAGAGTTTCATCTTTAAGCTGATTTATTAATTAGTTAGGAGTTTAGGAGGTTTTAAAAGGAAAACAACGGTTTTAAAAGGAAAACAACCTATGTGATGCAGGAATTTAAATCACGACTTACAAAAAAAATTATCATGATATTTAAAAATATGGTACGTTAATATATTGTGACTGTATTATCTATGTGTGTAACAAAGAATATCAAATCAACGCTTGAAAGGCAAACGTGACTAAGCGACAATTACTGCTTGGTACATAAATGATAGGCAATAACCATATTCGATGCCCAAAAAAAAAATATTTCTAGGTCTATTAAAATCATTTCAATCCTACAGCTACTAGCTAGATACTACCACATCTAGATTCGTTAAAATAAATTTTGTTTTCAGGTATTTCAATTTTAAATTAGTGTACTGTAAAGTTCACGCATTGTCGCTTAGTCACGTTTGCCTTTCAAGCGTCGAAATGCTTTAATGTCCCCGTAAAAGTGGTTTTACCGTTCCGTAGGTTCTTTTTCCATAAAAAACTTAGCATCTAGCTAAATAATAACAGAGAAAAATATACCTTTCGGCGAACAAGACTCGTTGTACGATGAAATAGAACCGCAAACAGCCACTCTCCCGTATTTATTCATGTAATTAATAATATTTGAACTGATTTGTCCTCCAACCTAGAATATAAATTTATAAATTTTTAAAAAAGGTATTCATGACTACTTTAATAATATTCCAATAAAAACATTACTGATCAAATTCATGAAACGTACCTACGTAACTTTTCAGGACACATTTTTGACCAAATTCTCAATAATACTTAATATTATTTAATAATATTAATTAATATTTTAATAATATTTCTTTCTGTTTTCCTTGTTATGGACGACATAGTTACAGTTTTTTTTTTACCTATTCTAGTAATCTCGAGAGGTTATACTAGATTCACAGAATTAGTAGATACGGTACAGAAAATAATTTCTGAACTAGAAAAAGCGTTGGTCGAAACGCTATCAATAAGGTTGAGTTAAGTAGGTAGGGTAGGTTTGTTACACTAGTAAGTACCTACTATTTTGATGGTTTTTGCGTTATAATTTAGTGCTTACAGCTTGACACTTTTTGAAAGGTTATAAGATAATTCCCCTTAGATCTACGCTTCATTCACCTTTCCCTTCAACGAAATATGTATATCTATTTATCTTACGAGCATAGAAAATATACATACCTTTATTATTGTATTGTTAATTATGTATTAAACTTACATTATCAAAATAACAATCTACTTTTCTTGGTGCACCTTCTTTAAGCGCTGCTTTAATATCAACCGTCTTATAATTAAACGCTCGATCAAAGCCTAACTCTTTCTCTAAATAATAGCATTTCTCATCCGTTCCAGCAAAACCAACTACTCGACAACCTAAAAAAAATCTTTTTTATCATACCTAGTTAAAATTAACTACTTACCTATTTACCTAGTCAGGGCATAAATTCTGTCACATGTTTAATGTAAAATAAGTGAAACAAGTTTATTCATTATGTAACCATTCATAAACCAAAATGAACTTAACAAAACATAGATTCTTATGACACTAAAGTTTATTCAAAATGACCTCCGTGATTTTGAATACAGGCCTTCAATCTGCGCGGCCAGTCGTCTATCGCAGCACGAACGAGGTCCATGTCAATATCGGCGGCTGCCTTAATCAAGGATGTCTTGAGTGACTCCAAATTGGGATGAGGCTTTGAGCACGCCTTTTCCTCCAAGTGTTGCCATATCTTGTAATCTAACGGATTCAAATCTGGACTGGAGGAGGGCCAGTCTTCGTGCCGGATGAAGTCGATTTCACGCGCCGCCAGCCAGTCTTGTGTGCTCTTCGCTCTATGAG